GGGTTCTTTTCGTCCGGGGGCCCCCAGGGGCCGCCCAGCGCGCGCAAACTAGAAGATTGTTAACGAGTTACCGGAGATCTTAGCACGCCTCTGGCCCGTTGGGCTGGCCCGGGACCTGCTCGGGGTACTTTTGGTCCGGGGGGCCCCAGGGGTCGCCCCGCGCGCGCGAACTAGAAGATTGTTAATTAGTTACCGGAGATCCTTGCACGCCTCTGGCCCGTTGGGCCGGCGAATTTGTCCCAAGCCTTTCTGAGATCTCGACCCCTTCCTCGGGAGCAGTTGTGTGTCCTGGATATTTCCTCATTGGTCCGGGGGGCCAAAAACCGTTCCCTGGAGGGCGAAGTCGAGGGAAAAACGTGCGAAGTCGACGGAAAAACGCCAGCACGGAGAGAATCGTATCGTCGGGGATGTGGACCCAAGAGCCGCGAGAGCTTCCGAGGAGCTTCGAAGCCCGAACCAGGAGGGCCCGTCGCGGCTGCACGGCGCCGGCGCCGCCCACAGGTCATGGTCGGCGGCGCGCCGAAGGGGAGTGTTTCATTGAGGTGCTCGAACTTTGCGCCTCGACCATCGGTGTTCGAGTCTTTCTGGCCCTCGGGGTCCTCTTCTAAGTCACGGCTGGACGCGACTCGAAAAAATTGAGCGTTTGGACCCGGGAGGGGTCCGAAGGCTTCCTTCGGACCGGATCTGGGTATGGGGGTACGGCGAGGGGGAAAACAGCAGCCTGTCCGTTGCCTCGAGAATCGGTGTTCGAAGTTTTCTGGCCCTCGGGGTCCTCCTCTGAGTCACGGCTGGACGCGACTCGAAAAAATTGTGCGTTTGGACCCGGGAGGAGTCCGAAGGCTTCCTTCGGAACGGATTTGGGGGTTAAGGGTACGGCGAGGGGGAAGACAGCAGCCTGTCCGTTGTGCCATCACTGTTTCTTATGTTGTGGGAGGGCGGGCGGGAATGGGCATGCCATGCTTGACTCGCTCGAGCTGGCTAGCTTGATGCGAACCCTACCCCTACCCCCCACGATTTCTGAGGGGGAGGGTGAGGTTCACTTCGTTTGGGAGCTCCCAGGCGAAGTGAACCCCACCCTCCCCCTCAGAACTCATGGGGGGTAGGGGTAGGGTTCGCATGCGATCCCCTATCCTCGTTCTTCTCCTTCTCCGTCTTGCGGAGCTCCGTCGCCTCGGCCATCGCCTTCTGAAGCTCGGCCACCGCCTTTTGTGGGGAACAAGAAGCCATCGCTACCGCTGCTCCGTGACCAGGCCTCTCCGGGGGCACATTCTGGCCAGGACTCCGAGGCGACCCCAGCCGTGGCGTCGAGGGCCCCATCATAAGCCCAGAAATTCGGAAGCGAAAGAAAAGCAAGGCTACAGTGCCGTTTTTAATACATGTTCCGCGTGCGGATCATGCATTACAAATGCAGAGGTTTAGTATAAAAAAATGAGTGCATGCATAAATGTTTTCATGAATTAGTCATTCTAAAAACTCCTATAGGTTTTAACATCCTATGTATTAAAAAAACTGCCCTGTACCCGAGATCACCTGATTCCGCGCATGGCGCTCCGCGATGCGCGGCTATCGTCGCGCCCTCGGGCCGCCGCCACATGGAAGGGCACATCTGCGGCCCATGCCGCAGATGTGCGAAGCGCGGTCATCTTCGCGCCCGCGGGCGACCCAGAGTACAGGGCAGTGTTTTATACAGTGGATGTTTGAACATATCGGATGTTTAATGCATGATTACTTTATGAATAAATGTATGCGTGAATTTATCGTTGTTTTTCATACTAAATCCCTGAATGTTTGATACATGCTCCGCACGCGGAACATGTATTAAAAACGGCACTGTATCGGTATGTCTTCCTTTTCTGAGCCTTCGTGTGCTCCGCGATTTCCTCACTGAGCTTGGCGGTTGAGGTCTGCAGCTGGTCGATCTCGGCGTGCAGTGTCTCAACGGCCTGCGTCTTCGTCTTTCTCGTCTGCTCGTTCGTGGAGAGTTCGGTGTCGCACCAACCCTTGTGCTCAGCCTCCTCGTTCGCCTCCTCCATCAATCTTGTGATGAGGTCCTTAATCTGCTAACCCCGTTTGACAAGGGGGTGATACGGCATGAGGGATGTTTGGCTGTCCGCCTCTCCATCCACCCAAAACAGTCTGCGCTGAAATACAAACAAAAACAAACTGAATCGATAACGAAACCGAAGCCAATCGAAACTGACAGGCCGCAAGCAGCTTGGAAGGGATCACAGAGAACCGACCGACCGAACGCAAGCGAGTGCGACATAACCGACCGACCGAACTGCGGACACCTTCGGCCCGCCTCCCCAAAGGCCCCCCCTGGGCGCTTAAAATCCCGATTGAAGGGTGGGTTGGGTGCGCACCTTCCGGGCTCCAGTCTCCCGAAATCGCCGACCGGACCCTCGATGATTTCCAGCATCTTTAGTAGATGCCTCGAATGGGGCCCAAACTTACTCCAGATGGCTGCCTAAACTGCTCAAGACAGCCCAAGATGCAGAATGCGGCAATTTCCACTGTGACCACCATAGTCGCAGAGAGCGTCCCAGACAGGCACCACCAAACTAATCCAGGCGCTCGTAGCTCATAAAGAGGATGAGGCGGAAGAGGAGGAGGAGGAGGAGGAGGAGGAGGCGGAGGAGGCAGAGGAGGAGGCGGAGGCGGAGGAGGAGGAGGAGGAGGAGGCAGAGGAGGAGGAGGCGGAGGGGGAGGAGGAGGAGGAGGAGGAGGAGGAGGAGGAGGAGGAGGAGGAGGAGGAAGAGGACTTTCCAAAGGACTTTCCCAATCAGACGATGTCTGGATGGTTGGGCTCTCAGGAGGACTTCACTTGAGTGGCCTCCCTTGAAAGACGCGAGACATAACCCAACTCCCCATTTTAGTAGGAGGTGAGCAAACTTCCGAGAGGCCTCTGAGGTGGCCCCTCCCTTCCAATGCCCGACAACCACACTTGATGCAAATCCAATATGGCTCGTAGAAAGCGAGCTCATGGGATGCGTGGCCGCTCCTGGTCCCCAGGGCGAGCTGGGCGTGGCGCGGCTGGTCGGTCGGTGGGCCAGGGCACTCTCGGGAAATCCATTCATTCATGGCTTGCTTACATGCTAATTTGCTGACCGAACTACGACAATCGAGACAGCCCCAACGGGCCTGCATGTTACAGAGTGTGTGAGACGACTTCAGCTGGGCGGCTCTGAGAGCGTCAGGATTAGAACGTTTCACAATCCTTCGAACAATCCTGTCCGAGGGCGCTTTGTTTTCATGCTCGAAAGCGTTTAGGCGGAGACGGCGACAGCCCACTTATAACAGGAGAGTCGAGCAGGAGGGATCTGGTGCTGCTGGGCGCCTTTGACTGCAAGCTCATCTGCAGCCTCGTTACCACACCAAACATGGAACGGGACTCCTTTCTGCAAACTTTCCTCAAGGCTGAGGTGACTGTTCATCCATAGTACGACAACACGAGGACCCCCCCTGTCTGCCAATGCCGCGCCGATTTCAATCCACAAACCTCCCATCGTGCTCCAACAGGCTGGGCGTGTGTGTCTGCCTTTCGTCCAGCCCTTGAATAGGACCTCAGAATCAGTCCAGTACTGTAATCTGCCACGGGTGTTCAACATAGCTGAGATGAATGCTGGGAATTCGGCACGCTTGTTTGTCTGGCGAGGGCCTGCGAGCGGTGCGAACGCTCCTCCCCTCACTCTGGGCTGGCTGGGGTCTGCCACGTCGAGCGCGACCCATCCCCAACCACACCTGCGGTAACGAGGGTCGTCAGACTCCTCGCCACCACTGCCGTCGCCGCAGGTGGTGAGGGGCAGTCCGAGCGGGGCCTCGATCGGGGCCCTGTCCAACTCCCCGAACCTCTCCTCCGTGTAGGGCGCCTCGCACGGTGGCGGCGTAGTCCACGAGGTCGGCGGGGGCCCACGTAGCCAGAAGCATGGCGTGTGGATGGCTCCCGCCTCTGCCATGGGCAAGAGGTGCTCAGATTTGTCGAAGGCGGGGTGCTGCGCTCTTTCAGGGCACTGCCCCCGAATCCTGTGGAGGTCGTCTGCCCTGGCGCCGCAGCTGCAGTTGCACGTGCCCGCGAGGTCGCCGTAGAGGTCGTACTTGCGCGCTGGCGCCCAGGTGCCCGCTGTCATGGCGGTGAGCAGGGCGTTGGCCTCAGGGAGCCTGCCCTGCTTCCGCAAGCGGGCCAGGTGACGGATCGCGTCGCTGGTGTCCACCCCCTCCCCCATGCCCTTGCCGTTGTAGTGCGCGGCGGCCTTCTGCCACAGGCCCCTCTCGATGTCGTCGGTGATGGCGTCGATAATGGTGGAGGGGTCCTTCTCAGCTGCATCTTCTGCCACTTCCCCGTCGCCACCTCGGGGGTCTGTCCATCGCGTAGCTGTCTTGGGGTCCCAGCCCGCCCCCCACAGGGGCAGGATGAGGGAACGCATCGCCAACGATGTTGTTTGGGGGCGATCTTGAGTCTGCCATAGATCTTAGCCCACGATCTGGTGATCAACTGCCTCAGGTCTGGCCTGTGTGCATAGAGGTCGAACCATGCCCGAAGTTGAGCACGGGGCATCTCCAGTGCTGGGTCTTTGCCAACCAGGCTGAGGAACGACGTAGTGCACCGCCCTGGCCTGGATTTGGCAATGCCCGACATGTATCTCCTTCTGGCCTGGGTAATGGCTGAAGGCGGATCCCCGTGTGCCTTCACTCCATAAAGTAGGGCTGGCATGGCACCTTGGTTGAGCATGTGAAATCTCTTCTCCCTTTTCAATCTCCGTAGCTTTCGGCCTAACGTGTCCATTCGACTGCAAGCTCTCTTTCGTCTAGCCATGTGTGTGGGCCGACGTGCGACTCCTTTTGAAGATCGGTCGATGCCAAGCTCACGGGCTGCTCCTGCTGGCGTAATATACACTCCAGCTTTTTCCAAACGTGCTGCGATTCTCTTGGTCATCTTCCAATCAGAAGAGAGAGAGAGAGAGAGAGAGAGAGAGAGAGAGAGAGAGAGAGAGAGAGAGAGAAAGAAAAAAAAAAAAAAAAGCATCGTCGTCGTCGTGTAGATGACATATTCGACCGCCGCAGGGCTGCCGTAGGCGGAGGTGCTGATGTCGTCGAACCAGGCCCTGGGCATCGCCCTGGGCTGCGCGGCCGCGACGGTCTCCAGCACCTTGCACGCCGCGGCCCGCGCCAGGTCGCTGGCGTGACGCGAGCCCGCCAGGAGGGACAGGTCCGCCTGGCATGGGAGCCCGTAGGCTCCCTGCTGCCCCAAAATACGCGGTACACAGCGAATCTGCAGCTCGAGCGCCAAGATCCTCTTGGGGAAATTGATGTCCAGGCACGTTGCAGCGACGGACTCAGGTATGAGAGAATCGTAAAATCTGGCAATGTCGGCTAGACTGACAGCCGAAGACATGGCCAAGGCATTCGCTGCTTCGTCTTGCAAAGCTCTTGTCAAGGCCTCTCTCAAGCACGAGGACCCCTTCAGAGCTGAGCCCCAGTGTCTCGACGCCGAGGTGACCCTTCCTCGACCTGCGGCCTCGCGAGGATCTGCCAGCAGCGGATGAGCCAGGCCGTGAGGGCCAAGGCTCTGTCTCCCGACTTCTTGGGTTCGAGCACGATGATGGCCTGGAGCAGCTGGTACGGCCAGATCTGCAGGGCCTCCACTGAATTGATTAGATCCACGAACGCCTGTCGAGCAGGCGTAGGCAGGCGGCGCACATCGGAGGCCACCAGCCTGTCGACGCCTCGGCCTCTGTCGGGCTGGAGGCGGAGGGCCTGGTCGAAGTGTTGCAAGGTCCAACTGCGGCAGGGCTCCGCCCTCGCCTGTTCACGAATTCGAGCCAAAACGGCCACGGTGTCAGTTCTGTTAACTGTGACCGCAGCCCAAATCTGTTCAAAAACCTTGGTTTGGGCGTCTACGATTTCTAGTGGCGACGTAGCCATACATTTGCCTAGCACAAACTCGTCTTCGAAACGGTGAGGGGGTTTAATGAGACGGCGCAACTTACCTACAAGGGCCTTCACAAGGTCCGCGAGCCAGTCGGCCCAAACACGCAGCTCTTTTTCAAGATCGCGCCGGTGAGCGCGGGTGGACTCATGCGCCGCCTGAAGGGCCATGCCCGCCAGCGTCTGCAGTTCAACTTTACTGATGTCCGCCAGACGCTGTTGCCACAGGTCATGATGAAACAGCGCGCTAGCCGATGGCCGAGCACCTGTGGAGGGGACCCCTTCCTGGGACAGGCGCCCGGCGATGTTGCAAAGCTCCTGCTGCTGCGGCCCCCCTTTTCTCCGCTCGAAGAGGGTGCAAAATAAGATGAGCGCGTCGGCAACTCTGGGCCACCAACTCGCCTCAAAACTCTGGTGGCGCGGTCGTCTCAAACCACGCTCCTTAACTACAGAGGTTTTATAATTATAATTGTAAGCCCTACCCGTATACCTAGCAGCGTCATTATCATGGATGTCGTAGGCCTTTATATAGAAAGCTTCCGCGTGCTGCACAAGGGCCCCATACTTCCGACCTAGTGCCAACGAGCTCTGTGGGCAGACCAGAAAAGCTGGGCAGGCGGCGATGTGGTCTGGGACAGGCTCGCTGAGCGGGGAGACTTCAGTGGCGACCTCCAGCCACACATCCTCCATTGATTCGGTCGGGGGGCCCTCGGAAGCTCTCGGCGACCTAGCAGCTGCTGCGGCAGGTAGGGGCGAAGCATTCGTTCTCTCAAGATCGGCTTGTGAGCAAGCTTGGCTAGGAGTTGGGGGCTCGTCGGGGCCTTCCAGGCCCTCGCAGCCATCCAGGCCGTCGAGCTCCTCAAAAGGGTCTGCCTCTGAGGAGTCCAAGCCCGCGAGACGGGCACCACCAGAGACTCTCGGCGACGCACAGCCGGCGGGGCCAGGAGGCACCCCATCCTCAGATGCGGAATGCACGGCCATATTGCGGTCGGCCAGGCTTGAATCTACAGGAAAATGCGACCACCCCCTAGGTCCCAGAGCTGCCCATCGTTGGCTAGCTAAATCCTGATCTTTTTGTTCGCGGACGGCGATGATCGAGGCGCGTGAGAGGGCGGCTGCATCTGCTGCAGCAACAGCTGGCGAAGGACCCTCATCTTTCAAACGCCTCTGCCTCTTGCTGTCAGGGTTCGGCTTAGCCCCCGGCTTAGCCCCCTTTGCGCGCAGGGTGCTGGAACGGGATGGGCATGCCCAGGCTGCGTGTCAGCGCTGGTACAACACTCGCCTCAATGGTTAAAACCTGACCAACGTGGGGCTTCCATGGGACCGAGACCGCACTGAGCTTCTCAAAATAGGGGATCGCATCATGACTCATGAGCACATAATCTATGAGCGAGGGTTGGGCACCAGCCTTGAAGCACGTGAAACCGTCAGGGATGGTGACGATCTGCGCTCCAAGTCTCTGTGGCCAACCTGACTTCCAAAACTGTGCTGGGGACGCGTTCATATCGCCAGCAACGATCCAGGGAAGCTTGCAAGAACGAAGGAAAGCCCCCATGGATGACAACGTGGCAGCATTATTACCACTGAAGCAATTCGTACCCTCTAAGTACAAGCTCACTAAGTTGGCGCTGGCTCCCTTGAGATGCCAAGTGATGGGCATCCAGTTACTGAAACTAAAAGTGCTATAGCTGTCTACTAAATTCATGGTCGCCGTGGCCTGTGAAGCTTTGCGCGGCAGTTCGAGCTCTCTGTGGCACGACGACTGGTGGCGACTGCGCATCGCCGTGACTACTCCTCCCCCCGAGCCCTCATTCGAGGTCTCGCTGGGTCTGGCGGCAGAAAAGGCAGCTCTGAGGCCCCAGCCTCTCAATTCTCTCTCTCCGCGGCCTCTAGGCCCTCGTAGCGGGCGGGCGTTTCCTGCAACAGGTGGGCGTCATATGAGTCTGTGAGCATCGACTCCCTGACGAATCGGTTGGCAGTATTACCCCAAATATTGATGTTGCCGATAAAGATCTGTCTGGTCGACCGAGGAGAAACATCGGCGGTGGCGGCTCGACCGGGCCCCCTTGCCCGTCAGGCGGACGCGCTGGCTGGCGAGGTCTGCCCCGCCTGCGCTCTGGCCTGCTCGAGCACCTTCTCCTTCGCCGCCCTCTGCGCCGCTGCCTGCCGCACCGTGGCCTCCGCCTTCGCCTTGGCCGCGGCGTTGGCCGTGGTCGCCCCGTCTGACGGGGCCGCGGCGGCGCCGCTGCCCGCGGCAGCGCCTGCTGCGACGGCTGCGGCGGCGGGCGGGGCTGCGGCTGAGGTCGCGGCCGTCTCGGGCTGCGACTGCGCGGCCCCGTCCTTGACGCCGCTGCTCGCCTTGCGCTTCTTGGCGGCCTGTGTGGCCTCGGTCTTAGCTGCCTCCGCCTTGGCCTTCGCCTGCTCAACGTGGACGCGGAGCTGGGAGACGAAGCCCTCGGTGCGTTCCTTGAATTCCTTCAGCATGGTGGCCTTCGCGGCGATGATCTCCTTCACCGACAGCTCGTCCAGCTCCTCTTCGTCAACATTCAGCGCGCTGTCCAGGTCCGCGAGGGACTCAGCTGCCAGCGCGTCTGGTGGCATGGACAGGATGTCGTGCAGCAGGTTCGCCTTGGTGGTGCCCTCCGTCTGGATGCTCGTGACGACCTTCTCTGCTTGGACGACGGCCTGGGCCCTCTGCAGCACCTCCTTCTCCAGCTCTGCGAGCGTGGTCTTGGCGGCATCCCTCTTGCTGAAGGCGCTGTCGTACTGCTGGTTGGCCTCCTCAAGGGCCTTGGCGGCCTCGGCCAGCCTGTTCGCCCTGCTCTTGGGCTCGGCTGACTGTGTGGCCTGTGATACCTCAGTCATGACCTGTGAAAGCTTCTGTGTGGGCTAGCTGCATGCTGGCCAGGTGTGAGGAGACACTCTCCAGCGCCTGCGCCAGCCCTGTTGTCGCCACATGCTTCCCGTCAGCGTCTTTGAGGCCCTTTCTCGAGAAATGTGCACCGCATCTGCACTGGAAGTCGAGCGCTAGGAGCTTGTTGTTCCATTCCCAGTTCTGGCAGCGCTTGCACTGTGTCCATTTCTGAGCGATCTTGCCGCCCACCTTCGCGAAGTGGTGGTGCCCGTGGTGATTGATGAGCTGCTGCTGCGCCTGTCTGGCAAGCACTTGGCCCTCTAGAGTGGTCTGGGCTGCCCTGACGATGCGGCGCGCCTCTGCCCTCTGGGCTCTCGCGCGGCGGTGCGCCGCTGCGCCTATGGCCGTGGCGCTGACGACCTCCGACCTGGGCAGGTCGGGGCCGGTGGGGTCGGCTCTGTTCCCAAGCGAGCGATGCCAAAATGGACTGGCTTGGGAATGGCGCGACGCCTAGGAGGAGGAGGAGGAGGAAGAGGAGGAGGAGGAGGAGGAGGAGGCGGAGGAGGAGGAGGCGGAGGAGGAGGAGGATCACTTCCAACGCTTCATGGCCCCAGGCCTCAAGATGAGCTCCAGAGTCCTCCGAGGCAGCCCAAGAGGCGCGCAAGGGGCCCTCACGCGGCCCAAGGCGCCTTCAGATAGCCCCACGATGACCCCAAGACGCCCCGAGGCTCTCAGCTCGGCTCTGAGGAGGCCCCAAATAGCTCCGAGACGCCCAAAAATCGCTCCGGAATGTTCCCTAGACGTTTCCCACACGGTCTTGAGGCTACCCAGAACAGCCCGGAGAGCCTCCCAGAACGCACGAGACGCTCCAACGCACCCGAACTTGCCTCCTGGACGACCCCAACACCGCGCTGCACATAGCGAACGACACCATCGCGAGGCCGCCCTGCTGGGGTCGGCGGAGTGACGTAAGCCCGCAAACTCATCCTCCCCAAGACGCCCACTAGAGGCCCCAACGAGGCCCCCAACGAGGCCCCAGCGAGGCCCCAAATAAGAAGTCTCCAAAAGAGGCTTCCGGGAGCCCCCACGACGACCGGACTGCGCGTGGCCCGGGCGTGCGCCCCGCGAAGCGAGCAGGATCATCTTCTTCACCTGCGCAGTGCGCACCCGCACACCACCACGATGCCTGGCCAGGGCCACCACGGGCCATGGCATGGCGTGCACGCCCTCCTGGCCGAGACCCGGAAGCCCGGGCTGGCCCTGGCTGGGCATGGCGGGGTACGAGGGCATTTTCCCCGCGCCCCCCCCTCCGACGTCGTGATACAGTGGGGGCGTTGACCTAAGGAACGGCCCCTTTCTCCCACAAGTCGAACTTCGATTTCCCATGGAGAACCTCAGGAAAACAAAAGGCAAACTGTCGAACAATCAAGGAACACCGAGCCCCTCCCCAACGAAAAGGGTTCCTTCTTCAGGGCCCCGGCTGTATTCTGCGCCGCCTGGACCCCAGAAATCTCGACCCCCCGTGCCCGGGACTGTGGCTGTTCATGCAGAGCCGTGTGTGACGGTCCTGAAGCCCAGTAGCGGCCCCCGGCGCCGAAAACTACGAGAGGCCTTGCATCCCGGTCTGCTCACGACGCAAGGAGGTCAAGGTTCTTTGAGCAGGGACCGACCGTCCCCGCATTCCTATAGGCATGCCACAACATGTTCTTAGAACCCGAAGACGTTCTAAGCACAAAAGCCATGTTCTTCGAACATAATACCGATGTGGTAAAACAAGACAGTCCCAACCGGAAATGTTCTAAAAATATTTCGTGCAGACCACAAAAGGTTATTAGAACAATTCTTGGTAGGATTCTTGGTATGCCTATAGGCGAACTGGGACGCTTCGCCACTGCTTGAGTTCTGCGGAGCACCTTCTTGAAAGGGTCCGTCTCCACCCGCCCCGCGAGAGTCGAGAGCACCCGGCTGCCGATGCGGTCCGCCTGCTGCCGGAGGTACTGCGCGGCCTCCCAGCACACCCAAAAGGGGGTCCAACTGAAAGGGGGTGGTGCAATAGACTTACGGCAATTGCATTGCAAAAATGTACTGCGCAAGGAGATTGTATTGCATTGTATTGCAAGTAATGTGTTGCACGCGAAAATCCAACAACACATTTGCGCCACGGAATGTATTGCACGCCCCGAATGTAGTGCAACCGTCAAATCTCTTGCACCAAATCTCCTGCACCACCCCCTCGTCGCTGGACCCCCTTTTGGTTCAACCCGAGGCCTGCTCCTGGGACTCGCTGCCAGTGGCGGATCGCAGGGCCGCAAAGGCGGAGCCGTAAGCGGCCTTCTCCGCATCGGTGGCCGCCAGGTGCTTCTCGGCGTTGGCGCTGACGGCATCGCTGGAGATAATCTCGATGGCCTCTGCTCGGAGTTTGATAGACCTCCTACCCCGACACGTCGATTCATGCATCGGCCGTTCTCGGTTCGCGAGAGGGCGTCGCTAGGGTCCGCGGCCCGACTCGCCCGCTGGAGTCCGTACCCTCACGAGCCCGAAAGCCAGAAAGCGCCCGCTTCAATGTCCCGCCCCCCGAGCCGCCCCTTGAGGTCCCGCTCTGCTCTTTGCTGCTCGGCGCTCGCCTGCCCGCCCCGACGGTCGTACCCCGTCGGGGTTGACCCAGGAGCCGGCATGGACAGGAGAGCCCCCCGAGGGGGCACGTGCGTAAGCAAAGCAGGCGTGCGTCGATGGCTCGGGGTATGCATGTTGAGCGACACGCGGGCAACGAAGAGCGACCAGTCGAACAATGACTGTTGCCGTCGACGCCAATGTATCTGCCACCGTGCCGCGAGGCAGTGAGTAGAGTTTATATATATATATGTATATATATATATATATGTATCTATATTTCGAGGCACTGAGTAGAGTGTCGCCGGGTCCCTTAGGGTCGCCAGTTCTGAGTATGGGGCACGCTGTCAGGGGCCTGGAAGCCCAAGTCCCAAATATCTTTGAGCTCTCCAAAGTGTTCCCCCGTAGCTTTTCGGGTCGGCCGCGTGACTTTCACGGAGACCACAAGAGCATATTTCAGGGCATACGTTTCCGAGACGGCCTAAGAGCCCCCAGAAGAGACCCAAGAGGCCCTCAGGGCGGCCCCAAGAGGGAGAACACGAGATGGCATTATCTGTGGACTCAGTCAAGGCTGCCACGATGAAAGTCAGCCACCTGACCCGCCCATTAGGGTCGTCGGTGTCGCACTCGTCGTCACCGTCGTCGTCGTCCTCATTGTCGGCGTCGTCGTTGCCCTCGTCCTCGTACTCGTCGTCACCGTCGTCTTCGCCGTCGCTGTCCTCGTCGTTCTCGTCGATGTCGCCCTCGCCGCCTTTCTCGTCGCCTTCGTCGCCCTCGTTCTCGTCGGCGTCATCGTTGTCGTCGCCCTTGTCGTCGTCGTCCTCTTCGGTCGTCGTCCGCGTCGTCGTCGCCCTCGTCGTCATCGTCACCCTCGTGGATGTTCTGCCGGATGAGTTGCACACTCATGTAATGCCCCGCGCAACAAGCCCGTCAAGGTCCGCCAACCCGACACTATCGTTAAGGTCCTACCGCCCGCCCGACCCACCGCCGGTTAGGGTCCACCCTTCCGCCCAACCTGTTCGGGTCGTCGCCGCCGTCGTCGTCCAGACGGTCGTCGGCGTTGTCGCCTTCGTCGTGCTCTCCACCCGAACATGTCCCCAACATCCCCCTGGCGGCCCCCGAGGCGCCCGAAAAAAGCTGCCAAGACTTCCCCACGAGGATCCTCGTGGGCCGCCGCACGGCTTACGCCGCGCTCCGTGCACCACATAAATATTTGGACGCCCGGAATGGGCACGGAAATAATGGGTACAATGCCCAACAGCAACAGTAACTGCTGTTGGGCATTTCTTCGAGCGGGCACACAAAGGATGCACTTCCTCCTCCTCCTCCTCCTCTTCCTCCTCCTCCTCCTCCTCCTCCGCTTCCTCCCCCCACTCCTAGCCCTTTCGATCAGGGTCGGCGGCACCGGCTGTCAGGCCTCTCCAATAATGGGCACAATGCCCAACAGCAACAGTAACTGCTGCTGGGCATCGTACCCATTCTTTCCGTACCCACTTCGGGCGTCCAAGACACAGTTTGCGCCATAGGCGCTCTTCGGGTCGGGCGACAAGGGGGGGATGGCAGAGGGGAAACTTGAGAAGCAGCTCATGTAGCTCGTTTTCCCGGCGCCTCCCAGCGCCGGAGGCGCCCATGTATCGAGGAATGGGCCCGGCGGCGGGGCCGAAACCAGCAGCATGCAGCAAATTTCGCACCCCCCCCATTCCCAATCCCTCCTTCCGTCCGGCCCGAGTTCTCCTTTTTCGCCAGAAAAACAAGTCCGACCCCCCCATCGAACCCAAACTTTACGGCACCGCCGCGAGCATATTTTCAGAAACTCGGCACGACAGTCTGTTACAAAATCAACTCATACAATCCCCGGCCGATTGGTATCGACCCCCCTCTCACCCCTGTCAAATATTTTTACTATACGGTGCATGCGCGTTGACGTATGTGTGTGTATGTCATTCAGAGTCCTTTGCGAAAAACCATCTGGGGGCGCATGCTCGCATAGCCTCCCGCACATGTCCAAATCATTCAAAAGCACATGGTTTTCAAATATCCGCGTGGGCACGTTCTCAAACTCATGAAACACGCTTGGTGTTCTCACCTGTTTGAAAAGGCAAGTTGGCCCACATGCGAAAACGATGTGTTTCCAAAGCGATGTACGTCATACATTGCTAGGTTATGCGGGCGCGCACTTCCTCAGCAACCTCAGCAAAAATCGTCACCGCAATGGCCAATTTCAGCATAACCATCGTCATCGTCGTCGCCATCGTCGTCATCATCATCAAACTTGTCGTCATCATCATCGTAATCGTCGATGTCGTCGCCCTCGTCGAATTTCAACGCGTTGCAGTACACGATCTTTGAAGCCAGCTGGTAGCCAACGCATGGACCCTCGGCGAAAGGCCGATCTCACCGTCCCAGGGAGCTGTCCCGAACGAAAACGGGGAGCGGCTGGCACAACGCAGGCTGGTGCACAAACAGAACAGGCAATCTATATATATATATAGAAACAGCACAAAAACGACCATGGAGGACGAAGACGGCGACGACACGACCAACGAAAGGGACGGCGACGGCGGGCGGACGAGAGCGAACACGACACGACCCGACGACAACGACGAGGGAGGAAGTCACCCGACCATCCCGACCGCTCCATCCCACTGCCACTTCATCCGGCTGCAGTGGAATTTGGTCATTCGCTCTTGTCCTTTACTGTGCTCGGGGCGGAATTTGGGTTTGGGTTTGGGTTTCGGGAGTCGGGAAATATTGGGCCGAATTTTCAGAGGCAGGCGCGGGACAGAGCAAGGCCTAGGACTTGGACTCGGACAAGGTGGGGGGGGAGATGTCGCGCCGTTTTCCCACGCCCCATCGGGAGGCGATCATCCACGTCCGTGTCAAAATGCACGTCTACGTCATGTCTCTCCAAGCAATACGTGCCAGCAGCATCACTAGTTCATCCCCTAGTACTGTTCGCGCCAACATCAAACATCATTTATCATAGGTGTCCAATCCTTGGTAACGAAATTGGGGCGAGCACAAGAAACCTTCCCAAACGAAACGGGAGTTGCTTTGACTGCGTAGGTGGCGCTGCCGCGCGCGGAGGGGACCCTTGGCCGCGCGCTGATTTCCACAAGTCCAGTGGTAGTTGGCCGTCGAACCTTGTCATGTCTGCGCGTGGCGTCACATGTTTGTTGTAGCCCCTGGCAGTGAGCAGCTTAATTGCCGTGCAAATGCAAAGCGAGGGCTGCCCGAATACGACTTCCTTCCCGCGGGAACACGAAAGTGCGGTCCCACGAGCACGACATCATTTTCGCGCGAACTTAGAATTAATCTCGCACGAACACGAACTGATGCACGAAATGCCGCACAAAATGCAGCGCGAAATGAATTCTGCTCTGCGCGAGCTTCAGCGTGAAATGCGCCTTGAAATGCCGCGCGACAGCGTCCGCGCGAACTTGTTGCGCGATTGTCTCAGGCGAACCCCGGGTTTCGGAGGCGCTCGCAGGCGCGGCCGCGCGCTCGCAAACGAGTCTTGGGAATCAACATTGGGGCCTTTCGCGCGGCTACTCTGGGCGGCAAGCGGCAACTCTGGGGCCACTTCTCGCGGGCAACTGTGCGCGGGCAGTTTCGCTCGCTTGCGTCCTCCCCCCAGTTGCCAACGCTCGTCCGCTGCCGCTGGCGAGCCGGGTTGCGCTTGCCGCGGTGGCGACGCTGGTTGGGCGCGGCGCTGCTAACGCTGACGGTCGCAGTGCTGACGGTTCGCGCGCGCGCGGCCATGGTCCAACGGTCCAACGCCCCCGCGGCGGCGCGGGCTGCCAGGGGCGCCCATACCGCCGCGCCCCACGTGTCTAATCGCGCGAAAATGCCCAAGGCGCCCAGCCAATTTCGCGGCCCGCGTCGTGCCATTTTGCGACTCCAAAGGATCTGCCTCCGCGGCGTCTCTTCCGCAAATCCTGTCTTTCCCGGCGTCGATGCTCGCGACCTGAGCGCTCGCGTCGCCGTCGGTGACCATGTCCGCCCTGGCTCGTTCAAAGCGCTCAGCTCCCGGGCCCGCGACGACAGCCGCCCCCCGCCTCTCCGGGAAGCCTGGGGGCGCCAGCGCATGCGCTGGCGGCCCCAGGCTCCACACGACCGAATGGTCTCGGTCTGCCTCAGAGCTCCGAGCACGGGGGCGCGGCGCGGGCATGGCCGCATCGCCGCGCTCAAGTTGCGTGCGTCGCTGTCGAGCGCTTCCTCGATCACGACTGCTTGGGATTGCATGTGTACTTCCTCGGTCGCCGTCCTCTGCAGCTTCTGGACCGCGCCCTCACAACGCCTTTTGCGATCCGCGCACGCGCCCGACTCGTTGGGCACCCTGATCAGCGCGCGCGCTCTGTCAGGCGCAGGCAAAGCTGCCATGGCCTCTCGGGCTCGGGCGGCACCCGCGCGCGAGTTGCGCCCCAGATCGAGAGCGATGGTCGCGAGCGCTGTCTTCCCGCGGCGGAACGCGCACATCGCCGTCGGCTTTATTCTGCGCGCGTCTCGGGCATCTCTGGCGACCTGCCCCACAATCACCATCGGCGCGCGCAGCGATGGCGGCGATGTCTGCGGGGGCCCCTGCTGCATTCGCCGACGCTTGCCTACTCCCCCGCGACGCCCCACGCCCTTCGCGCCGACCTCCGCGGGAGCCCTCGCCCGCGCCGGGCGGCCCGCGGTATGGATCGATGTCGCGCGCAATAGAAGCGGGGCGCCGTTCGCAGACGCGCCTGCGCGGCTGGGCCAAACGGGGCAGAGACTGGCGCGACAGGACGGGCGCGCGAGTTCAAATGGTCGCTGGACCGGGGCACCCGCCGAATGCCCATCAGCGAGGCGTCTCCGACGCGCGCGGGGCGCGCCGAAAATGCTGCTTGCGCAGGTCTGGGATCTGATGCTGGAACTACACATCGGGCGCCGGTTAGTTTCGATGGCCACTCGAGCCGCGCCACGGACCCCAAGTGATATTTATGCGAGGAGACCCGAGGAGTTCGCGCGCAGCGAAACCAACGCCACGCCTAGAACCACGATGTTCCAGATTGCACCACGTTCACATATGAGATCTAGACCTGCACCAGGGTCGGGAACTGGACCAGGCCACGCCACGTCACACTCAGGGGATGGATTGACTGACGCCCAGAAGTTAAAACTCATAGTCACGCACAACCCGATCGCCCATCTCCTAATCCCCCGAAAAATGAATGCGCACTCCCAGCCCGCGCGCACGGGAAATCCACTCCGTTTGATACCTCCAGAAGACTGCGCGCGTCGGCCTCGAGTATTTTTGCCTGGGGGTTGGCAGCGCGGCGCGCAGCCTTCGCGTCAAGGCCGGAACAAACTCTCTCTTGACCTCGCGCGCCACCCGGCCGAACAGGGCGGCCAATGGGGGCCGGCGCCCCGCTGGGAACTCGATCGCCGCCAGAAGCCGTCGACGCCGACGAACTCGCCGAGAGCGGGCGGGCAAATCCTCCGCGCCATCCAAATTTCAACGCGACCGATCATGCGAATCTAACGCGGGGCATCTTCCCGCGCGCCACCTTGCATCATCGCACTGGGGCGCCCGCGCAAAGGCCATCGAAAGCTCGAACAAAAAAGCGCCCCGCAGAACCGAACCTGCCGCGCCAGATAGCGCGGCGCGCCCGCCGGCGACGGGGGGCCCGCGAACCGCCAAACACAACAAAACCGAAACCAGTTCGCCCGAGGGCACCGAGGCGATGGGCCCAACTGGGTGGAGCATGGCCCCGGAATACTTCGCGCCATTCGATGCTCGCCCGACCCCCCCAACTTGAAACTCAAACGGTTCTGTCGCGCAGATCTCGGGCGCGCCGCGACTTCCTGCTCGCCGCGGTTTCGCGGAAAAAACCGGCCGGCGCCAGCGCGGCGTCGAGCGCGCCGCTCGCCCGTCGGGGCTGGGTTACAAAGGGCGCGGCGGATGTCATCTAGCAAAATGTTCACCGACGCGTCGCGAGCTGCCTGGGAAACGGGATGCCTGATCATCGCCCGGTCAACGGTGCCCTGAAAAACCGGGCGGCGCTCGCCCGGAACAACTGATACGCTGCGAGAAACGCTTCTGGCACATTTCCGCCCTCCTTGAGCCCCCTCGCCTCGGTGCGATTATCGCCCGCCCACGCCGCGCGCCAGCGCGCGCAATCATGCGCTTACATGCGTGATTCAGCCATGCGGCATGATGAATTTTAAAAGCAGTTCGGTCGTTTCGCTCGATGACCTCGCGCTTGGAAGACGGGAAGGCATCTGTCGCATCACGCGACGCCACTGACCCAGACAAGCCGCGCCGTCGCGGGCGCCAAGCAACCTTGCGGGAGCCCTTCGTCGCAGCTTCCCCTCGGAAATGGGCGCGGCCTCCACGAGCATAGCGCGGCGCGCGCATCAACGTCCGCGCGCGGCACGCGCTGCGCCAGAACGGACAACAAGCATGACTGAATCGGACGCCTCCTATCTGCAGCGCACCGTTTTGCTTGTCCACTTGCCACGTGCATGAACTGTGCCCCACCACTGTGCCCCACCTCTGCTCCTCTTCCCGACAGTCGTGCATGTGCGCGCACACGTATTACGTGCTGCGCGCTGTTGCCAGTTTCCTCCTCCTCCTCCTTCTCCTCCTCCTCGTCATCGTCATCCTCATCACCATCATCATCATCATCATCATCATCATCATCATCATCATCATCATCATCATCATCATCATCATCGCCAACGTAACCGTTGCCACCGTCATTATCATAACCAGTAGTGTTTCATCACTGTCGCCACCATCGTCGTGGACAGTGTGCCCACAATCGTCATGACCATCCTCATTGCCCTCGTCATCGTCGCTGTCACCGTCAAGTCACGGTCTGCCAACAAGTTGCGGCTTGGAGGGTGCAATGGTTGCTCGAGTATTGTAGTTAACCACACGTTCACACCGCATAGCTTCTACCTCATAGGTTTCGCCACATAGCTTACACAACATAGCGTACACCACAGTGATCCTTTTCTACAGAGGCTCAAATTAAACGCCGCGATCGAAGCAAGCGCCTGCACGGGCCGCCGCGCACATGTCAACCGCATGTAACAACACAGATGGGTGTCTTACCATATCGGCTCAGATCTGTTCAACAGCACTCATAAACGATCAAGAAACAGAGGTCAGAAGCCTGCGCGCGCACTTGCTGTAAGACGCCCAAGATAGCCCCAAGAAGGCCCCTGATGCCAACAAGACGGCCCAAGATGCCCTCAAGACGGCCGAAGAGGCTCCCCAAACGCCCCAAGATGGCTCCAAGAGGACCTCCAGTGGTTGATTTCCATGTGCAGTCCATGAGCCCTGTCGGGCTTCCAACAGCCGAAGACGGCCCCGGAGGTCTCCAAGACAGCTCCAAGACGGCCCCAAGACGGACCAGAAGCCCCATGAGGGCTTGCGAGGCCCCCAAGACGGCCCCAGAAACCACCAAGACAGCCGTGAAGCGCCCAGCAGGGACCACGGCCCGGAGAGGCCCAAAAACACAAATGGCCCCATCTAAAAGCCCCCAGAGGCCCCCCAGAGGCCCCCCAAAGGCCTCCAAGAGGCCTCATGAGGCCTCCAAGCGGCCCCTCAGAGGCCCCGAAGAGGATCTCAGGACGCCCCTAGGAGGCTCCAAGAGGGCCTCAAGAGGCCTTCTCTTTCTCCTCTTCCTCATCCGCCTCCTTCTCCTCGCTCTATTCCTCCTCCCTCTCCCTTCCCCAAGTTTGAATGTCAATAGCTTGGCCAGTCTTTGGCCCAACGTCTCTCTCGAGAACGGTAAGGAGCGACGGTGGTTCACCGTGTGCGTCTTCGCTAGTAACCGTCGGTCGGAAGAAGTGGGTAGAAGCATGAAGTAGGCAGGCATTGAAATAGATTGGGCTTCTGCCAGCCGCCTAAATAGCAGGGGAACGGAAAAAGCATTCGATGATTGAAGTAGGAAGGCGCCTAAAGTAGATTGGGATCTGGGAATCCAAAAACACCTACTTTCAACGACCGACGGGTAGGTGTGAAACACGTGATTCGACCGGTTTTGGCCCGCTTCGACCCTTCGGAGGTCTCCATGACGCCTCGGGACATCGGAGGTCAGATTCTGGGGCGGCAGCAGATTCTGCCCTGGAGGCCTTCTTGATGGCCACCAGCTCCTCCGCGCGGAGAGTCTGCCGGGACTCGAAATCCGTTGCCTTCTGCTCGCACGTGGCAACCAGGTCAGTCAGGTACTGCTGGTCGGCGTCGCGGGTCGTTGTTGTGTCGGTCAGGTCGCCCTCCGCGTCCGCCTTTGCCTGAAGGGCCTTCGCCTTCAGCTCCGCCTTCTCCTCCCGGTCCTGCTTGGCCTGCGCAGTAGAGGACTCCAGGTCCTGCATCAGCATCTCGAACTCCTGCTGGGTCTTCACCTCTGTCTTCTCCAGCGTGGTGCGCTCCGCGATGAACTTGTCCAGCAGCTTCTCGAGCATCTCAATCACACCCTTCGACTGGAACTCGTACCCGTAGGCTTCGGGGGCGCTGACCTCCAGGCCCTCGGCGGCCGCGTCGGGATCCTGCTGCAGGAACGCGGCGATGGCCCTCTTGGCCTCCGGAGGGATGAGACTGAGGCCGTTGAGATCAGCGAGTTGAACGAATGCGGCCTGCGGACGGTTGTAGGCCTGCTTCTTGAGCACCTCGATGGCCCGCTGCAAGGCGCTGACCGACTCGGAGTAGTCCGTGTGCAGCGTCTCGTAGTCCGCCTTCTCGAGCCCTCGCACCTTCGTGGCGGC